TAAGAAACTAATATAATTGGGGTCGATGGGGTACTTTTATAAATATTCCGCCATCGACCCCAGTCACGTACACAGCTTGAGAGGCGATCGGGTTGCTATTCCACCATAAGCCCCGCCCCATTCACTCTAATAAATACTCACTCCACTCATTCGTTCAAAACACATATTTTGAAGGCTATATAAACATATTTGTTGTTCTTATTATATATATATATATATATACTGCTGGGGAAAAATTAAAAAAAAAAAACCTACGAGGTTCTCCTTGGGTTCGATACACTTTTTCAACCTTGTAAAGTAGATTTCATCAAGAAAAGTTCAAAAAATGTAAAAGTGAGTATGTCCTTGGAATATTAATAAAATAATGAAACTTTGATTAAATTATCGAAAATTTTGATGGAGAAGTTTGAACGAGCCATGAAAGAGTATTTAAAAAAAATGGGTTCTTGCCATTTGTCATTCTTTGAGCAGTTACGGTGCACTGAGAATCGCAAATTTTTCAACATAAAATCTTTTGGAAAACTTGATATATTTTGTGTAATAAAGGTGTAGTGGCCACTTGTAGCTACCACACGTTACCGCTAGATGCCACTACGACTTATGCAATGTTCTCGCCCTCCACTCTGCAGCCAATCCGAGTAGAGCTCTTCACTATATAAGCAGGGGCACTGCCTCGCTGGAAGCAGTCTCGTCGGCTCGACGAGATCTCAACAATCACTAATGTAACAGCAGACTCGTCAACCCGACGAGATCTCACCAAACACTAATGCAACCATGTAACTCGTCAACCACGACATCGGCAACAACGACAGCAGTCTCGTCTGCCCGACGAGGTCTCTTACATCACTAATAATCGACTACGCTAGACTCGTCAATCCGACGAGTCATCACTAAAGGAACACCGTCGACGACAGTAAGTACTCGCAGCATTAGCCTGATCTCGCCTTCTAAACAGCCGACTTGGCCGTAAACGCCAACTGCTGCCCCTCGGCTAATTGCTGTACTCCAATACCTTCGGCCTCTGTGGAGTCAAACGACTCACGGCCCCCGGACCTCAGCCAACGGTTTACTCATGGTCACAGACCACCACCAACGGCACCACGCACACGGTCTCGGCCTCGATTCATCGTCACGGTTTCTCTCAAAACAACACCGGCCCTTATCAGGGCCACAAAACTCCCCGTCACTAAAAAAGTTCAGATTTGTATTTTAATAACTCCAAAGTTGAGAAATTACGATTTTATGTTCAAAAAATCTGATTTTAGACTAAAATTATAAAAACTTTAACATCACAGGAACGATTGAAAACAGGAAACTCATTCAAGTGGCACTGTCCTACGCTTAACTAAGTGAATCCACCTTAGCAGTATTGACATTTATCAATAACCTGTAAATGTTACCCACCAATTCAACATTATCTGCGGTGCTTTTGGGTGTGATGAAGTTATAATGTTTAGATTATCTAAATCCATTTTTTGTCACTAAATTTGAAGCACGTCGGTTATGATGAAACGAGAATATTTAAAAGTTACACTGTGTTCATTGAGCCGATTAACGTTAACTCGATGGAGGTAAATTTTTTACTCTTGTAATCTGCATGGCTTTATGTTTCCACGAAAAAAATCCCCCATCTCTTCACTACGAGTGATAGCAGCTGTCAGTTTAAAAAACCATACAGTGTTTTCCACATCAAACCGATCAACTGCTTGGAATAAATAATCATGTTTTATGCTTTTTCCATGTTGTACCTCATAAACGATTACAACATCGCCTTGGCTACAACAATACAAATCTATAATTGAGAAAAGTCGTGTAATCGGGTGGAAACCGGAGATGGTCCCCGATGCACAATATCATACTGTTTCCAGATCGATTCCGTACGTAATTGGCTTTACTTTTATTGACTTATAAACAAGCCAAGCCGATATTTATGAACCGTGTCAATTGTTCCAGTTGATGGAGCCCTACATCAAAAACGTTTATTTCATAATATTCAAAAGTTCAAAAGAAAACTTCATTTTTCTATTCTATACCAATTGCTTAATTAATTGTAGTTATTTTTTTGTGCGGTTACATGCGATAGAGATAATTAATTAGTGACCGAGTTTGAGTTTATTTGTAGGTACTTAATAATTGAACATAAAATTGATATTTCTTTTAATTAAATAAATAGAGAAATAGAAATAGAGCAGAGAGATTGAAATATAAATAATTATAAAAGTAAATTATTCAATCAGTACAGTGTATCATAATTTTGTATATATTTCCATTATATGAATTAGAAAAACCGATAAATTATTACATATTCAACAAATAATCATGAATAAAAATAGAGGAAGAGGAAAAATGTATGTTTAGGGAGAGGAACAGAAATCGATAGATAGAGAGAAAAATAAAGAGGTAGAGCGAGAGAGAGAGAGAGAGAGAGAGAGAGAGAGAGAGAGAGAGNAGAAGGAGTGAGTGAGTGAGAGAGGGGGGATTGAGTGAGTGAGTGAGTGAGAGAGGGGGGATTGAATGAGTGAGTGAGTGAGAGAGAGAGAGAGAGAGAGAGAGAGAGAGAGCGAGAGTGAGTGAGAAAGTACAAGAAAGGGAGAGTTAGAAGTAGGTAGTAAGGTTGAAATTCAGAATGAGTGCCAAATTTTTTAACCATAAGCTCTACTTTCATTCAATGCAATGATTACAGTTTTCCTTCTACTTCTTAAAATAAAAAACAACGATCTACCTACATTTTTAACAACAGCTGTAACATATCCAATAGCTTTTATGAAAACTGTTGAAAACCAGTTGAAAAAAGGTTCAGTACTCATAAAAAGTATTCTAGTTTGGAAAAGATTTTTTTCACTACAATGTAATAAACATTGATTTGAAACCTTACAATAATTTAAGTGCTTAGGTTAAACTTGTAAATCTTACTTAAAACATTGAATTTTTTTCCAGAAATTAAATAATTATCGCTCTTTTTAGAAGTTGAGCTTATGTTAAAAAACTTGATTACATTTTTAATTGCACCCACTACACTGGTACCCTGACTTTTTGTAATTTTCAATTGTTTATGAGCAACCAGTCCAAATGTAATTACCAAATTATAGAAATTGAAATAACTGAGCTTTTAAGGATACTAAAATAATTTTTTCTTCAACAAATATGACAAAACTAATTTCCAACTAAGGCGCGTTTTTATAATTTTTGATGTTGGCTACACGTATTAATAATAATAATAAGTTTATTGCACACAAGAAAAAATAAAAAAAATTATATATAATTCAGACAAGAAAATAAACTTAATACGGCAAGGTAAAACCGTCGCCGGATTGGCTACACACATATTATTGAAATTTTATTTGGCTCTGTAATTATATTTGAAATTGAATTTTCCATTATAACCCTGATGATTCATTTAATTAATTATACAATGGAAACAGTTTAATTTTGAAAGCTTGAAATTTAAATAATTACGAACTAAATTTTATCAGCTTCTATTAAATATATAAATACTCAATTAATTATATGCAATTTTTTTCTCGAAATGAAAAACTTGCGGCATGGGCGATCGAAGTCACGGTTATTCAAGTGGTAGAGCAGCGGCGTATTGAGCCGAATGTCGTGGGTTCGAATCCAGCCTGTGACACAAATTTTTCATTTCGAGAAAAAAAATTGTGTATAGATAATTGAGTATTTATATATTTAATAGAAGCTGATAAAATTTAGTATTAATCTAGAATCACACCTGTGAATCGTACCCAGTCCCGCTAATCTACTACAATCGTTAATAAAAAAGTGTTTCTATATGAAGCCACGATTTGCTTATAATTAGAATAAAATCGGGTAGTCAAAATGAGAAGTTTGTGGCATGGGCGATCGAAGTCACGGTATATCAAGTGGTAGAGCAGCGGCGTATTGAGCCAAAAGTCGTGGGTTCGAATCCCGCCTGTGACACAAATTTTTCATTTCGAGAAAAAAATTGTGTTTAATTAATTGAGTAATTACAAACTGTATTTTTTAATTACAGGGTATTGCAGTATCAACAATTTTTAGTGTGCTGAAAAACCTCAAACCCAAAATAGAGACACATGGATGTAACCAAGATTACCAAAGTATCTGATAGTTCAAATTTAGAAAGCAACCAACACAGCCTTCAAAATAGGTTTGATTTATTAAAATGACAAATAGATGACAACTTCTTAAAAATTGATATGAATTTAAGATTATGTTATTCTAGGTTTTAACTAAGCCAGATTAGTTCAATGTTAATAATCCTTGGAATAGGGTTAGGGATAAAAGAGGCGGCCACAAGGATTTCCCCACCACGACCTGAGAAGATCTATTCTTCTCCCGTGTTTTTTTACAAATCACTTGCCAGCTTTAGATTGTTAATCAACCTCTAAAGCCTTGCCAGCGGATCCTTACTGTAGGATCTTCCTTGTGGCTTTTCGTTTCCTAGGTGCAAGAATCAGCACCTACCTAGACCATCACAAAACATAAAACATGTTCTGAGGTCTCCTCCTCTTCCCGGCAGAATGTGCACAGTGTTTCTTCTGTCTGTACTCCCATTGTTCCACCAGGTTTGAACTCATTGCGAATCCATTTTGCGATTTTCTTTTATGGCAAGATGCTAGAGCACTGTAGGGATATAGGGAGTCCATGTTGGCTCACTCTTTAGCCAACATGACAAGTTTTTCGTTGACTCATTGCCACGAATGTCCAGGGTCAAGTCATTTGTGTCGTTGACTTCCGCCAGGGCCTCCTAGGTCCAAACACTCTTTGCCTTCATCTCACATGAGGTAATAATTCGTTACATTTTATGCAATAGGTAAATGCTTAAAGATACAAGTATATTTTTTTGAAATTTGAAGTTATGTCCACTTTTGCAAATACAAAAATAAAGGGTTAACTTTTTTAACAATAAATAATATTGTGTGAAAAATATTTAACTAGAAAACTACCTTCCCTCTATCCCGCTTTGATATGAAAATAATTGAAACACACGTTATGTTACTTACGTGATTTAATTTGTATCAGAGTGGCTCCGACTGGATTAGCAGCGTATTTCGCTAGAGAAAGCCGGCGTCGAATCCAAGGAAGTTGTTTGTAATCACAACGGGATAAGTCCCATGTAGCGTGTTCACGTGTTTCGAGAACATCCATCTCTGAGCACCCATCCAGCCGGCCTTAGTTTATAATACCTTATTAGAATTTCACACTCCGCTATTCAGCGTGGGTTCACCGGCGGAAAACCTTGAAGAGGGCGTACTACTCGTTCAGCCGAGTGTGAAGGGTTGAGAAAAAAAAGCTCTAATAACGCTAGATATAAACAAAATTCCATTTTATCGTTAATTATTTTAAATGTTACTAAGGTACAGAACTTATAACTATATACTGACGGATAATACGCTTAAAAGAAACAATGGACAAAATGGTAAAATCAACCAGGATCGACAAAAAGGCCTTATGTCTTTCTGATAAATTTATAAATTTAAAAATTATAATATTTATCCAAGGGCAAGGACGACCGATTTTAATTATTTTTTATTGATGTTAGACCAAAAATATTAGCTTTTTTTCCCAGCATTCTTGCCAATGGACCAAAAGATACCAGAAAAAATACTTTAGCTGAACTAAGTTTTAAAACGTTGTTCCTTTTTATGTCTTTTATAGTTACTATTTATCAGTCGATTTTTTGCGTTTTACATCATATGAGAAGTTAATAAGCAAGATTGTATTAAACGAACTAAGTTGTATAAAAAGTTACAAAAAGCAAAATGCGCTTCCAGTAAAGTAGGTTAAAAATTATTATTCAGATCTATTGTATTATTTCCAAATTATTTATTAGTTGATTTATATTTAGAAATAATAATAATAATCAAAATAATTATGTATCGTCTTAGCTGTTAAAACGCCCTTAAAAATTAATAATAATAATCCATTAGATTTCGTGGTCCGATTGACCAAATAACTTTTTTCAATTAATTAATCTTTATGAAAGGAATTGGTTGACGAACAATTTGGGACACGAACGGAATTCGAACCCACGACGTTCGGCTAATTACGCCGCTGCTCTACCACATGAGCTATGGCGCCTTCGTTCCACTCGGACGCCAACTTCCCATCTCAACCCCTCTCCATTCAATTTTTCCTCCATTTTGTCATTTTTCAAATGTTGAGCATTATATTCGATTCTCTGCGACAAATGAAATAATAATTATGTATGGTTTTAATCCATTTATGTTTAAGTGGTCAATTGACCAGGTTACTTCTTTCATTAATTATTCAGAAATCGTGAGATGCGGTCTGGTGTGATGTAGGTTTCAGCAAAACATTTTCTTTATCGTGCCAACGTTTCGATCTTTATTGAGATCATCTTCAGGGAGACACGCAAAAATGGCACAATTACGTAGAAAACCAACTCTTTGATCCATGAATTCTGACTAATTATCAATTTATAATTATATTAATTATTCTTTTTATGTAAGTTCTTGGTTGAGATAGAAAAGTCTGTGTCACGAGCGGGATTCGAACCCACGACATTCGGCTAAATACGCCGCTGCTCTACCACTTCAGCGACTTCCATCCTCTCTGACAGCCACTCTCCATCTTAACCAACAACCGTTCGAATTTTCCCTCTTTTTGCCATTTTCAAATGTCGTGTAATCAGTGTTCTCAGCGACTTATGAACTGGCCACGTGGAGCTGTCAGTAAAATGACCAAGTATGAAATGACGATTATGTATCGTATTCAATAGATACAAATTTGCCAAATGATTTTTTCAAAATATGGTAAAAGTCTTTTTAGCAAGAAACAAATTTGTTCATTCCTTTCTACACTCAGCCAAAAATAATCTCTTTCTCACAAAGTTTTAACCTTCCTGCCTCCGGTATTTTTTCAAAAATTACAAAAATTGCGACAATTTTCGAATGATCCGACATATCTTCTGGAAACATTGAAGTGGTTTAGACCCTTTAACCGTCACAATGGCATTACCTGGGCAACCGTGAATAAATTACAATTGAACATTTAATAATATGCACATATTATTTGCAATTTGGAGTAGATGAAACGTAACATTAGCAAATGAGCAAAACTAAAAAAATTTCAGGTAAAGTAGGTTAAAAAAAGTTGAAAAAAAATACGAATAAAAAATATCTATTATTAAATGATAAATCTTGTATTATTTGATGTCCAGTGTACTTAAAAATTTATGACATAAATCCTCTCTTAATCATATACAAATTTAACGTTATTAAAACAATCAGCAAGCTGTAAATTTCTTCTTTGGGCCTATATTTACCAATTATTTGATATAAGATGGTTAAATAGATTAAAAACAAATTTTAAGCAAAGAATAAAATTGATTTTCGTTTTTTCCCCTTCAAAAAATTCCTGAATTGGGAAATTGAAAACAACTTTTTCTCTCTCAATTTTTTGGCTTTCCAAATACCTCTGATTATTTTTCTTCGAAAAATCAGATTTTTAATTGATTCAACCGATCCACACATATCTTTACTGATTTTTAGAACATTATAACCTACATGTATTAGAACAAAGGTTCCCTTTGTTTTACAGATGGGAAAAGTCGATCTTTTAAGGATCTTATCGAAACCGCTCAATAAATGGAACGAATCAGCTCTTTTCCATGGCTCACCGCTCTTGGTCAACAAATTTATCTTATCCATAAACCCATGAGCAAACTTTTTCGGGTTTTTGAATTTCGATGTGCCACGCCATGGCCAACCGTGCAGGTTGATTGTCTGAATTACTTATTTATTATATGAAAGAAATGACTAACTGTTCAACCTGTTTCTATTATAGCCAAAAATAAATTTCTTGAACAAAAAAAAACGAAGAATGACCGCAGAAGGTTGAGTAGTTAGTCTTTTAGTTCACGTTCGCTTTTGGTGCAAAGAGTGCTGAGAGCGGCTTGAGTGGCGAACGTGGTGAAATTGCCAAGTCATGTACTTGAAGTTTTTGGTAGTAAAAACAAAATTCAAAATTATGCGGATATCTCTATAGAGTTGGCATCGAAATGGAGAAGATATCAGAGCTATCACTTTTTTGAGGCACTCGTTCATTAAAGTGAATCTTTTGATCAGCTTGCGATTGGAGTTCCATAACTACTTTGCATATACATAAGAACTGGAGACATAAAAAATCGAACATTTGAGAAGTTTTGTTGATTTCTTTCTTATATATCGAACTGATAAGGTCATAAAATCTAAACATTGTTAACATAGCCTGAGGATAAATTACTCTTTCGAAAGATTGTGGCTATGATGAATTTGGATATAATCCAGAAGGGTTGTGCATTTTTATGTGTAACACCTTACATCGACGAGAAAAAATAAATGCCGGCAAATCCTGCCAAAAATGTCTTTTTATATTTGTCCCTGGGAACTTGTGACTGAGGAATATAATTGATTAGAATGGTGATTAGTGACAGTTAATCGATAATTATTCAGAAATCGTTAGATGCGGTCTGGTGTAATGTAGGTTTCAGAAAAACATTTTCTTTATTGTGCCTCTTCAGGGCTCAAAGTGTTTGTCTTCTGTGTAATTTTTCCATTCTTGAGTGTGGGCACTTTGAGCCCTGAAGATGATCTCAATAAAGATCGAAACGTTGGCAGGATAAAGAAAACGTTTTTCTGAAACCTATATCACACCAGACCGCATCTCACGATTTCTGAATAATAATTGATAAGGATAAAATAAGAGAAAGCAGAAATAGGGTGTATGTGTATGTATGTATGTATGTATGTATGTGTGTGTGTGTGTGTGTGTGTGTGTGTGTGTGTGTGTGTGTGTGTGTGTGTNTTATAATAATATATTTATAAATAATAAAATTAAATAAAAACAAAAATGAATGGCTGTAAATATAAATGTGAGTGCGAGTATTGGTCAGTCTTTAATTATACCTCAAAATTGTTGTTGTCAGTAAAGAGTTCCATTACTCGTAGATTTCAATTAATTTAATTGCCTAATTACCTGAACATGAGGAAAAACTGAATATATAATAAATATATTTAAAGTAGTAGCGTTTTTATGTGGAGTTTCAAACTTCATGGAGTTCAGTAGATTGGAGAAGAAAGGAAAAGACCAATTGATGGGTTCACCAATCTTTCGGCAACGGAAACAACTGCCATCATCGTAGTTCCACTCATGCAACAAAAAAACAGTCATTTTTTCAAATTGGACTCCCCAGAAATCTTGGGTCGAGAAGTCGGTTTTGAGAGGAGACTCCTATTAGAAAAAGTGCATATCAATTTAACACACAACGCCTGCAATTTACAGAGTGACGGACTAGTTTCCATCTCGACATTGCGGGGTTGTTGGAAGTTTACAAAAAACGGAAAAAGGAGGCGACGGTTAGAGGGCGCACAATTGAAGGCACACATGGCTGGTAACCTTCACTAACCATAACAGTCCAACCTGAGGCGACGCTGTTCGTCGCTCTCTCTCCCATTAATTTTAATCCTATGTACAGTCTATAATTATCTATAATTCTAGTCAAAATACTCTGTGATAATAAATGTTACCTATAAGAAATTGCTAGTCAGAACAAAATTGTTGAAAACACAATCATATGGATTTTATTAGCGTGGTACTGTTAAATTTTATTATAATTATTGTTGCTGTTAATTTAAATAGTGTATATTAATAATTATTTATAATTTTATATAGATGACTGTTTTCACCATGCTTAGGTGCTTCATAACCATGCCATGTGCTTCATAACCTTAAACCCAAGACGTCCTTACTATAATTTTACCATATTAATAGTTTTCTGCACTCTGGGGAAGTATGCAAATTGTTTTATTTTGTTAATTGTTTCCTGTATATTATTTATTTTATATATTTTTATATTTTTTAATTTTTAGTAAAATAGGCCCTGATGATGGCACTATAAGTTGCCGAAATCTTGGTGAACCCAACAATTAGTATTTTCTTTTCTTCACCTATCTGCTGACCTCCATGAAGATTGAAACTCCACATAGATAACCTGTAGGTCGATCAACAAACATCAAAAGCGTTTTTACTTTCCTCAGTATAAGAGAAAGCTCATTCTTTTTACCTATTACAATGCTAGGTCCATAAAGACGATACACATACCGCTGTGCATTTTTTCTATATATATCATCGTCGAACTTTCAGTAATATTCGCACGGTTCGTGAGCATAATCCTCGCATAATTTCATGCTCAATGGCATTCTTCACGTCATCTATTACTTCATACTTCACAGCTAACTCACTGATGGGTTTCTCGCAATATTTAAGGCA